GCATGAGGCCCAATGAATCCAAACTACCTAAAATGTGTATTTATCTTTATGTTTTTGTTGGACATTTCTAAAAAGCGTGTCTTACCAGGGGAGGTCTGGCTGTGACGGGTCCAAACGGACAGGGCAGGTTCATCTTGTTCATCAGATGAAGCACCTGTTTAATGTGAAGCACAGGTCAACACACATCAGGCTCCACATGTGCTGCAGACAAACACCAGGATCAACACCACTTCCTGTGTGAAGCAGCAGCGCCACCAAGAGGCTGAGTCAGGAAGTGGAGAAATGTTAAACCCATAACTCATGCCTCCTACTACTGCTTTATTTATTAATACTGGCTCCAAAAACTGAGATTAAAACTCCAAACGTTGGTGTTTGATCTTTAGGAGCTCTGGCTGTTGTTCAGAAACTGCAGCAGTTCTTCTTGAACTGAAGAGAAATAATGAATAAAAAGTAAAGAAGCACAGATCGTCACATTCAGGTGACGTTTTTCCTCACCTGAACATAAAACTTGGGCACACTCAGGAGGGCGTGGCTTATGTTTGTCAGGATGCTGTTGGAGGGTGAAGGGTACAAATATTTCAGCGTGGGGTTTGACTGAAACTTCAACCTGAGCAAGTTAGAAGGAGAAAGATAAAATAAAAAATAAAAAGTTTAGACCAAACCTACAATAACTCAACTGAGCACAAGAATTCAGGAAATTAGCGTTTTGTAGRTTATTTCTTTGTCGTAACAAAGCTTCTTGGTAATAAATCTTATGTTGTTGTAAAGTCTATTAATGTCCCTTTTAAATGGAGCCACATTTGTAAGGATCATGCATTTGTGGGTTGAGCAGTAGAGCTCAGTATGTGGGTTGTATACATGAAAAAAATGAGCCAAATCTTCTCTGTCAAACAGCTCATTCAGCTGTTATTAACTCTTGTTTTCAGCTTCTGGTACCTCCAAGTGCTGCCAGTCATAAGATTTATTGAAAATAATCTAAAAAAAACATGATTTTACTTAGTTTTTGTATTAAGCTTCCACATTTTTTAAATTAATTTTATTATAACATTATTGATTAAACTAAGTTGTAAAAGCTGCGTCCACCTGTAGGATTCAGGAGGTGGACTTGTTTTCATTTCAGATGAAATCATAAATACTGCTGACAAAATGTCCAGTTTATAGACAGGTAAGACAAACAAACAAAAATATTTTTAAAAATGGGAGGGGGTGCAAGGGAAAAGCACAAAACAAACAAACAAACAAACAAACAATAAATAAATAAATACTTTTTTTCCATTTATTATCATTAGAAGTCAAACAATAAAAAGTCTGGGTGTTTCTCCGAGATAAATAACATTTATGATGCTTTTAAGGTGATCTGTGAGAGGCTTTTAATTCAGCACGACTGATTTATTTTGGTGTTTTATTGTTTTCATTGGTTTGTGTGTTTTACTAGTTAGTAAATTAGTTTGAATGATTTCTTATACTTCTTATTAAATTTGTGTTGCATGTCTTTTTGTTTGGTATTTAACATTTGTACTGATTGTATTTTATTGTTTTGACCAAATGCATGTAGCCGAGTCATTTTAATGTTGATTGTTTTTAGTAAGTCCAGAGACAACAGCTGTAATAATATCCTCCGGATAATTCTGGTGC